TTAGACTGGATATTAGGAAGAATGTTTTTACTGTGAGGGTGGTGAGATACTGGCCCAGGTTGCACAGGGAGGCTGTGGATGCCCCAACCCTGGCAGTGCTCATAGCACACAAGGCCCTGAGCAACCTGTTCCAGTGGAAGGTGTCCCTACCCATGGCAGGTGGGTGATTTTTAACATCCACTCCACCCCCTTAATATTCTATAATTTCAGAAGTTTTTCCAGAGTCATCCCTCTTGTTTTCTTTCACATCTGGACCCAAGGATAAGCAACTCAAATGAGACACAGACTATCCACCAGCACAGGGAAAATGAATTACAAATTTAGTCAGGAGACCCTGCCAATCCACTGTCTCTCCAGCCCTATCTGGTCAGCCAAGAATTTGGGGCATTACATGCTGCCTGCTGATGTCACTGGACTTAAGCCAGCAGGACAATTTCACTGCTAAATTCAGTTAATCTGGACCCAGTGACATGTCCCCTGTCCCCTGCCCAAGACCATGATTCCCTTCCCACCTGCTTCTGCAGCATCCACCAGGCAGGATCTCCTGGTGGCTGATCCCAGGAAGTTAAGCAGCACTGATGCCTGCAAAAGAAAATTTTCTGGAACTGTGAAAGAAAAAAAATCTGCATAGATTGATTTTTCCACTCTCCATTAAAACTGAGCTCCTCTGTGCAGTGCAATCTGCTGTTACCCAAGAGACAGCCTTCACACATTGCCCCACACTTCCTATTGCCATTGCTTTGGCAACATGGCAGCTTTTCCAGCCACGACTGCAGGACATGGACATGGAATAACAAGACCTTAAAGCTCATCTCATTCCATCCCCTGCCATGGGCAGGGACAGCTTTCACTAGATGAGGCTGTTCCAAGCCCTGTCCAGCCTGGGATGGGGCAGCCACAGCTGCTCTGGGCACCCTGTGCAAGGGCCTCCCCACCCTCACAGCCAAGAATTCCTTCCCAATATCCCATCTAACCCAGTCCTTCCCAGTGGGAAGCCATTCCCCCTTGTCCCTCCAGGCCCTTGTCAGAACTCTTATGCTGGCACAGTTAGGGATGCTCTTTACTCCAGGCAGTTTGATCTCCAGCCAAGGCCCAAGAGCGCAAACCCATCACCTCACCCTGCCACCATGTGCTGCTGTTCCTGCTGGTTGAACAGGAGGGCAAAGCCATCTCCTTCACCACCAGCTCCTCAGGGAGGACAGGACAAGGGTGCTACAAGCAACATGTGGGATCATCAGGTGTGATCTACACACCCTGCCTGCTCCTTCACTGCTCAGTAGATCAACAACACAACCATCAACTGCAGAAGCCTCTGAGCGCCCAAACCCTGTACCAAGCTCCTGCTGCACCTGGTGGGGCATGGACACAAGCAGTGGGATGAAAGCAAGTCCTGTTTCCTGCCAACAACACAGGTTTTTCCTTGGTGCTGATGGGTGACAGCCAGCCACCATGGGGGAAGGGAGGGACTTGGCCAGGAAGGAGGATTTTCAGCTCCCCATCTCCCACTGCCTGGAGAAATGGCACAAACCCGCAGAGTTGTTCTGGTTTTTGTTAATGCCTTTTACATAAGGGGAGCCTGGGATGCAGTTCCTGCCAGGCCTTTCAAGTACCAAGAGCTTTGCTGGATCCCTCAATATGCACCATTCCAGATTTTTTTACTTAATGAATTGCTCTCAGAAATATATCAAAGAGCTTCCTACTTGCCACAGCCTCACAAGGGGAATGCAAATAAAGTATTATATAAAAACTTCCCACTGGCTCTTTTTGGGGAAGAAAAAAAAAATCCAAACATAAAAGAGTTTAAAATTATTCCATTATCTAAACCTTCCTCTTTACAGAGGCAGTAAGGTGCTCAAAGAATATTTTGAGTACCTGGTCTTTGCCCCAGAGGCTCACACGTGGTGAGACCTGGCAAACTTTCAGGGGTTTAGTGGAACATGGCCACACCATGCAGCAAACAGAGAGATCCCAGCAGGAAACAAGAATTACAGATGAGCTGAATGTAATTGTGAGACCAGGATTTTCTCAGCACATGAGTTCACAAAATGTATCTCAGGAGATTCCTCCATGAGCAGACCATCTTCTCACAGCCACCCACCCACAGAACTGGAAAGACCAGGAGGTTTCAGGGGGAATTTTATCTCTTTTTAAGCCACTGCTTTGTATGGGATGCCTTTCTGCCAGCCTTTGGGAACTGACTCCAAGTCTCACACAGCTGCTAATACAGGTCTCACCAAGTAGTGCAAGAGCAGGACAAGTCTGGGTGCTCTTTTCCAGAGACACCCAACAACATCAGAAACCAGCAATTTAGGAATATCCAGGACTGTTTTTACCTTCATTTTAATGAAAGTGAAAACACTTAAAAATGAAGGGTAAAAACACTTTATTTTTACCCTTATACTGTATATTATTTAGAAATGTCTAACTCCCTCACTTGTACAACAACCAGTAGATGCTTATATACACACATACTATATAAAAATGCATAACACAGACACACAAAAAAAAAATCTTTCTTTTACTTTTATTTACCTTGCTGGATCATATAACCCAGAATTTCAAAGGCATCAAGTACTCAGGGATACATAGAGGGATTTTTCAGGCACGGAAAAGTCATCTTCTCTCTAGGTTTCTCCATAACCTTTAGGAAGCCAATTAATTCTGAAAAAGCAAGACTGGACTACTCTGTCTTCACAGAAAATGAACCACATGCTGAATATATTTCCTGGACTAACCCAGATTTCCATATAAATGCCCTTTCTGATGGTCACGTGAAGCATACCATGGTCAGTGATACATAACCCACATTTTCACATTAGCTGAAGCCAGCAGAAATCTCACATCCAAGTATTTTTCAAGTATGACTGGCAATGCAGAGATCTCAGCTGGAAACACAATAGGAAAATTAGGAATTCCATTTCCTGCCCAAACCCCTCAAATACATAAAAAAACTGCACAAAAAAACCCCCATCACAACAACAACAAAAAATCAAACAAAAAAAAAACAAACCAAAACAAAACCAAAAATCTGAAACCAAACAAACTCCAAACAAAACAAAAAAACCACCCCATAAACGCAACCCCTCCCGCCACTGGGAAATAATTAGCTGGCTTCTTCCTTAGGAGGTTTGAAAAGTGATTGCTAATTTTAATTCAGGACAAGCATCATAGTAATGACTTTTTTTTTTTTTAATATTGAAAGATTTTTTTGTGAGAATAGCCAGGAATGGTAAGAAACTGCACTTGGTGCTCACCAGCAGCATTTAACTCATGTATCAGTGACAGCGAGAGAAATGCTTGCCTGGACAGAGGAACAATAGCTTGCAGCTCCTCTTTGGTGCCAAGGAAAATTTGTTACTCACAGTTAAAGGAAGCCAAACATGGAGAGAGATAATTACTAGCTCTGCTGCAGGCTGGGAGAGAGCCCAAACACAGGGTAAGCAGCTTGGGCATCAGCGAATGGTGTTTGTGTGTAGGAAAGGAGCTCCCTGTAGGAGGAGATCAAACACATTTAATTCCCAGGGAAAAAAACAGCAAGAAAACAAAAAAAAAAAAACCAACCAACATGTAAGCTGAAACAAAAGAGCGCATGGCACCAGGCAGATGGAGGTTGTCAGGGAAGTCACACCCATGCATGACTCCTGCATCCTCCTGTGGTCACCACCAGCCACTGGCACATCAGCAGAGCCCTTGGGAGAAGGGCCAGGGACCCTCTTCCCTAAGGAAAGCCCCATATCCACCCAAGGAAGCCTGATGGAAATGGCCAGCCTCCCAGCTGAACATCCAACAGCTGTCTGCAGTGCTGGGAGGGAGCCTGATGAGGTTTTGCTGCTGAATATTTTGAAGCAGATCACAGCTGTAATAAATTAAATCCACAATTCCATCTGGCACCTTCAGGAGCTCATCCAAAGCAGCGCCTCTGTTCAGCACACGCCCTCCTACAAAACAACACCCTGCCTTTGCTGGGTGCAGGTGTTGGCAGAGGTGCTACCAGCATCCCAGGGCCATGGCAGGGATGGGATGCCTAAGCCCCCATCCCTTAGCCATGAACTTCCAGCATGGCTCCATGGGAGGAAGCTGTGCCCAAAACGAGAGCTGCAACCTGCCCTGCTCAGACTGGTATAGCCTCTTTTACACCCTGCAAAGGGCTCCCAAACTCCCCCTCATGGATCCATGCACAAGACTGCATCTGGAGGATATCAAGCACAGCAAGAGAATAAAAGCCACCAACTTGAAGCCACTTCTCTAGGTGGGACATCCATCAGCCACAGCAACTAGAAATGCTGTTTCCCCTTCCTTCAGATGCCTAAATTTCACATCTGCTCAAGCAAGTGCTGTTCTCACAGAGCTGATGTCTCATGGTGACACAGCAGCTTGTCAATCAGATGAGAATGATCAAACACAAGCCCCCACCCAACCCAATTCTCTTCCATGGGGGTACTCACATGAGGAGGGGCAACCACCTCTAGCAGTGCCTGGTAAACACTCCTCACTCATGTTCACACCATGTCCAAGCACCAAAACTGACTCACACCTGGCTCCTGTCACTGCACAACCAACACAGGCTCTCAGCACGTGCAACTTTGCTTCTTCTGCCAGCTCACCCTCTCAGCTGCGTAATGCTCTTCCCTGCAACACCATCCTTGTGCTGCAGCACACAACACAGAAGCCCAGCTACACACAAAGATCCCTTATTCCAGCCACATCTCATCCATCCAAGTCAGCTCTGATGCTCCTAACAGCTTCTTCACACAGGTGACAATAAGAAAGTCTTCTGGAATAAATGCGACACTCCTTATTTTTTCCCCTTAAGCTCCTGGATGAAAGCATCCATCTGCACATCAGGATGTTTGGGCAGGAATGAGCTTTCAGATGCCAAGCAGAGGGACACCATCTCCCCTTCCATGGGAGAGGGAGACAGCTGGCAGCACCTCCCAGGTGACGCAGTGCAAGAAATAAAGGCAAAGCTCTGGGGAGGAGGAACTGAGCACAAACCGTACCTGGTTATGTTCGTGAGACGACGAGCCCTTCCCTCGGGATGGGGAACAGCTGCCATCAAGCTGCTCGCTACAATCCGCCGTCCACTGCAAAAGGGATAAAAAAAGGGATTGTGTAAAATAATAGCTGGGCTGGGCAAAACTGCTGTGTCAGTCCACAGTGCACAGAAAACACCGTCCCGCCGCGGGCATTGCTGCACACGTGTGGCACCCCCTCCTTTTTGAGGATGATCCCAAAGGCTTTGGCTTGGAAATGCTCCACCCGCTGACAGTGGGTTCAGGGAAGAAGCAGGAACAACTGTAGGAAAGCATTTGATACAGTGCTTTGCAATAAAATCCAGTCCCAATACCTCCTTGCTGACTCTGACACTGCTTGGAACCCCAGGTGTGTGATACACACTAGGGTGACTTATCACTCATTGCCATGGAAAGTTGGAAAATTTCTGCTTTTCCTAAACCCTCGTTCCCAACTCTATTTGCTTCAAGGACAGATAAATGCCCTGGGCAGCCAATACCCTGTGTTTTCATTCTAAACAAAACAGCAAATGAGTATGGAAACTATAGGTTTGGCCATTGCCATATGTGGCCATAGAAGATTAGCAGACTCTTAGGCCAGCTTGCCCCAAGGTTGGGCAGAAACATGTCTCCACAAAAATAACTGAATTTGGTGTCATTTGTTGCCTTGGTTCTTTTTCCCCCTAAAGAAATATAGGGCTGTATCATACTGGTGAAAAAAAACCAAACCAAAAAAAACCAAATTTTCACTAGACAAACATCAAAGATGCTGCTTAATTCCAAAGTCATTTTTGTCTCTCCTTCAACAAAGTGGAGACTGATCAGCCCCACTTCCGAGGTCTTCCATGCTGGAAGCACTTGGCTACTCCAGATGGTACTCAAGGCTTGGTACCATCACCAAGGATGATGTGCCAAGAAAATGAAAAGTCATTTCCATACAAACAACCACTTCAGAGCTCCCTGACAGGTATGGATGAGGCCACAAAATAAGAGTCTTCACTACAACTGCTCATGATCCCTGCCCTCATCAGAGAGCCCATCCTAGCTCACAGATGGGGGGATTTCAGTCTCCCCTCACTAAAGAGCTGCCCATCACTCTCCTGCCACTTCTGCTGAGCCCCCTGAGCAGGCTCATGATGCCATCACTCTTGAGAGTCTTTTATTTACCAGGATAGGGATACCAGATGTATCCCTATCTGCTTTAACAATTTTGAGTGCAACCACATGCCTGGAAAGGTCTCTCAAGGAACAAGTTCACTCATTATCTCCACAGCAAAATAAAATCACCTTTTCCTCTATGATTTTCCTCTTTTTTCCTGGTGGGAGCAAGGTTGGGGACATCCCCATCATAGAATACCCACATTTTGGGATTCTCTGAAATGGCAATGGATTCAGCTTCCCTGGGAGCTGAGTGAGGAGGATGTGCCTTTCTTTCCTTCCCCCAGCAAGGAGAGCAGTTGTTCAGGAATGTGGTACCATCCAAGCAACTCTCACACACTTGGCTGAATGGATTTATCCACTCTCAGGCAGGGAAAACATCACAGCCATAAGGAAACAAACTGCAGAGAGATTAAGTAACTTGCCCAGCATTAAAGATTTAGTTTCTGGCAGAGCCTTGCAGTTAAAAACAATTTCCTTGGTCTCAGCTGAGTGCCTTTCCCTTAAATCCATCTTTCTCCCTCTAGCTCTCATTAATGAGGGAACGTGCCACCTTCCATCAGGCTGCCTTCCACCAGGGTTACTCCAGTCAGCTGCAGGATATGTGCCTGTTTATTCCTTGCTTTGCTAAGAACTGATCAGAAAGAGAAAATCAGAAATAAAAAATCCTGATTATTTTTTATAGGTGGAAAAATGAAAACAAAACCTTTGTGAGACAGTAGATAATTCCTTCTTAGTGCATCCATTAAGACATGGCTTGATAAATGCAAGTGACCTAAAGTAAAAGCCCACCTTCACTTTTTGTCCAATACACAGCCCTAGAAATACAAAATGTTGCATTTTGATGGAGTTCCACAATAAATCCTAATTAAACTTCTGCATCAATGGTCTGGGGTACAACCTCATTTAGCTGCTTCATTTGAGTTGCCTCTATAACTGGTTTAATTAAAAGGTTTAATGTTCAGATCTTTCATTATTACGAATTTTTCCTTTAAAATAAAACCCAGCCATCTTGAAAGAGAACACTCTCAGAACTGACATTAAAAACTCAGCAGCTCCTTTCTTCCAGGGCAAGCCAAGAAGGAAAGCTAAAATGCCATTTCCACAACTGGAAGATGGATTTGGTTGCAATCAAGGATCTTATTGCAAAAAACGTACACGGTATGCCATGAGAATTAGAAATTTTTGTCCTTAAGATGCAGAGGGAGCCTGAGCTTATTGGCAGAGCAGTAGGCAGGCTGGAAGAGGTTACAAAACTTGGTCTATTTTATTTCTGATTCAATACTACTTTTGAGCTTGACACATTAATAAGCAGAACTTGTCTGTTTGACCTGAAGCCCCTCCAAAGTGTCACTTCAAACACAGACACCTTCCAGCCTTGGGTTAATAAAATCACTAGTTTTTTAAATATATTTTGTCCCATTTCTAAGGGCTTTGATCCTCAAATTGTAGAAGACCTCTTCACCAAAATCTATTGTTAAAAAGGTTCCTTTGTTTGGTAATTTCTTTACATTGAGATGATATGAAACAGGTCTAGAGCTCTGGGTCAGATCCTCAGCTCCAGCAAACCTGCAGAGTTCAGACAGATCAGATCAAACACTGCTGATACCATGTAAAAATGGGATCCTTCATATGTAGAATCATGGAATGGTTTGGCTTCCTTAAACCCCACCTCATTTCACCCCTGCCATGGGCAGAGACACTTTCCACTGTCTCAAGTTGCTCCAAGCCCTATCCAACCTGGCCTACAACACTTTCAACGATGCACCTTGAGACCATAAAAAAACCAAACCCAGCATCAGGAGACCGCTACCAGCAGCTTGGAAACCTCAAATACATCCCCAAACAAGCGAGCTGCCTCAAATCCAGCGTTTTATCACATCCTGCTCCACATCCAAACCCTGAAAAAGCTACTCCGGCTGAGAACACACTCTGTGAGCCCCCAGCCCCTCTCTCACCCCACAGTGAGTGGGAGGAGGTCCCTTTCACCCACCTGTGAGACATGGGACTGTGTCTTCTCGCTCTCGCCGTCGCCCTCGGTCTTGTCGGTGAGCAGCCCCTGGACCTGGTACTCCAGGACGTAGCTGTCGATGAAGCGCTCCAGCTCCTCGATCTCCTGGGAGCGGCTGCTCCCCGCCTCCGAGGAGGCTGATGCCACTGAGGAGCTCTCCATCCCTTCAGGGGGCACACCAGGAACGCAGGGAGCCTGAGGAAGCGGGACAAAAAAGACAGCGAGGAATTATTTCCCAGTAATTATAAAAAACCCCAGCAGACAAAGCCTATCGGTTGCCACGCGCAGGATGTTCTTTGCTGTACATCTGCATTTCCAATACAATTTCTCATAATCCTAGGTGGTTGCTTTTAGGGCTTCCAGGCATGCAAAAAATGTTCCATTTCTGTAATATTCCTGCATTTAAGGACAACAGACGTATTTCCTGGCCTCCTGCTTAAAACCAAAATTACTGAAAATCTCCAGACATATGCACGAGAGGAAAAAAATGTGACACTAAAATGCTTGATTTAATAAATCCAAAGCATTAGTTGTTCTGGATATGGGTGAGAAGCTGGGTGTAATGGACATGTCTGAGGAAGAGGATGATAACTGAAAAGCCTCTCTAGGGCAGTGGCAGTAAATAATGCTGAGCTAATGATGCAAGTGTAAACGGTCCAGTGAGGAGGTGAGACAGAGATCGCAACAGAATTCACTTTTAAAACCTCTCACTGCAGAAAATTGCCTCTATAGGAGATGTAGGGGATTTATAATTCTCTTCTCCTTCCTACTTCTCCAGGGCTCAATGACTAACACAGTAAAGAAAGGAAACCACCAGCTCCTGGGCTGGGCATAGCACTGGGCTCTGCTCCCTCTGACAGGGACAGGACCCATGGAAATGGCTGGAGCTGTGCCAGGGGGGTTTGGGTGGGATATCAGGGAAAGGCTCTCCCCCAGAGGGTGCTGGCACTGCCCAGGCTCCCCAGGGAATGGGCACGGCCCCGAGGCTGCCAGAGCTCCAGGAGCCTTTGGACAGCACTGCCAGGGATGCTCAGGGTGGGATTGCTGGGGGTCTGTGCAGGGCAGGAGCTGGGCTGGGTGATCCTGGGGCGTCCCTTCCAGCTCAGGATATTTTATAATGCTACATTTGGAAAAAACTGGGCTGTGGTCCAGTGTCTTGTGTTAAATCTCATATTCCTCCCTTCCTGCAGCTGGGAGGGAGAAGACATGGGAGCTGCCAGCACACTGCAGGACACAACAGCTTCATCCCTCACCCTCTCCTTCACCAGGAATGGGTAGTTACAGTCTGCTTTGAGACAAGTATAAAATCACTAAGCAAATCCGGAGTGAGTCACATGCCATCCAGAAGGGAAGGGGAGGGAAAAAAAATCTGCTCCCAGCTCATGTAGTTTCCAGCTCCTGAACTATTTTCTCCTCTGTCACTTCTGAACAATTGTGGCATCATTTGGAAACTGCCGAGAATGAGCAGTTCTGGCCTAAGGATTTCATCTGTTCAAGGAATTATTCCCAAATGTGCCCAGACTGTCAAAAAGGCTCATTATGTAGACCAATACCACACATTAGCTCCTGAACAAAAATCATATGCCATATTAAAAAGGACAAAGAAAAAAGAAGAAAGTGAAGAAAGAAAAAGAGAAGGAGCCCCAGAGAGTGTGGAGCCCTGGAGGAGGGCATGCTTCTCCCCTTTTCACTAATTAGTGCCAATTACAAAAAGGAAAGCACCAATTATCAAACAGGAAGTGCTAAAGAAAGAGTTGGGAGAACAGGAGGCTCCCATGAGTCCTGGAGGGATGTGATGGCATGGAGAGACGGCACAAGGCAGGGGACAAATGATACAGGTGGCATCACTCACGATGGAGTGAGCAGGGTCAGAGGTTATCTTCCATCTCATTGGGCCACACATTACCCAAGCCCAAAGGATTTTTTTGTCTACTTCAGACAACACAAACCACATATCTGAGATATTTGTGGATCTCTAGTGGGAAACTCTAAAACAAATTCATCTTGTGGTAGCTTCACCTCTCTCTAAAGGAAACTATCACTCAACAGGAAGAAAACTCCTGCTCTTCCTGGCGATCTGTGCCTGGAGCTAGTTTCTCACCTCACCTCACCCTCAAAACACATACAAAAAATGTTTTCAAATAAAAACCCACACTTGAGCATCAAAGCATTTACTATCTTCCCACACTGAGCAAACAAATGTTGGTGAGAGCTCTTGATGAAGCAGTGATCCCTTGGCTCTGTGTTGGCTCAGCACCTACCACAAAGGATTCCCAGACACCAGGTACTTTCCTTAATCACAACAAAGAGAGATGAACCTCAAATCTGCTTTTTTAAATCACTTCCCCCTTCCCTCTACTCTACTTTGCCAAAGCACAAAGTTTGTAAGTTTTGGGGGTCTGAAAATAACCTTCCAAATCTTTCCTATCTCTGAAAGTGTTCAAGGCCAGGTTGGATGAGACTTGGAGCAACCTGGTGCAGTGGAGTATGTCCCTGCCCATGGCAAGGGGGTACAACTAGAGGACCTTGAAGATTTATTCCAACTTAAATCCTTGTAAAACCGTATGATTTTACAAAGCCCATGTTGTGCTCGTTACTGTGACCATAAAAGAAGGAATCATCAGCAGAAAAAGTCAATAGATGTGCAAACTGCTTATTATAACTTAGTAATTATCAGCATTACTGTAATGTATAATTATTATTAATAGCTGTTATTAAGGGTGATCTAAATGGGGTTCTTGCTCTAGCAAGATTATACAGTTTTTTTAGCAATTATACAGTTTTACCCTTCATCAGCAAATAATAAGAACAAGCATTTTTTATTACACTTGTAGGCTCATTCCCTTTCTCCCAAAGGTGCTTCAGGCTTGTTGAACTTGTGGAAACAAGTGGTGAGTTTGATAGGTGAAGAACAGTAATGGAGAACAAACCCACTTTGGGTTGGGAGGCAACAGGAGAGTGGAACTTGCAACCAAAATTATTTAAGACGTGGTGAGTCCATGATGAGAAGACCACAGACATGCAGGACAGTGATGCATTTCCATCAGGTCACTGGAGGATGGGTGAGAGGGCCCCACATGCACGCCCTCCCCCAGGGAGGAGGCTCCAGCCATTCCCTCCCACACCAAAAGCTCTCCAAAATCTGGACTGCAGCAGTCTGGCAGTGCCAAGACAGAACAGCAGGGCAACTTCCCACAGATTGTCCCCTGGGATGAGACCCACCTGTGTCCCAGCCACACCAAGGGACTCCAGCCCCCAAAACAAGCTGCTGGGTAAAAACATTCTGGCACACCAAAACTGCAACCATAAAGAGATCCTCCTAAAACAATTCTTACAGAATCACTGAATCACAGAATTGTTTAGATTGGAAAGCCCTCCAAGACCATCAAGTCCATTCCCCTGGCAACACCAAGGCCACCACTGCCCCAACTCCCCAAGTGCCACATCCACTTGGCCTTTAAATCCCTCCAGGGATGGGGGCTCCACCACTGCTCTGGGAAACTCTGCTGGAAGCTCTGGACAAGCCTTTCCATGGAGGGATTTTCCCCAATATCCGATCTAAACCTCCCCTGGCCCAGCCTGAGGCCGTTCCCTCTCCTCCTGTCCCTGTTCCCTGGGAGCACAGCCCGACCCCCCCGGCTGTCCCCTCCTGTCAGGAGCTGTGCAGAGCCACAAGGGCCCCCCTGAGCCTCCTTTGCTCCAGGCTCAGCCCCTGCCCAGCTCCCTCAGCCTCTCCTGGGGCTCCAGCCCCTTCCCAGCTCCGTTCCCTGCCCTGCACACGCTCCAGCCCCTCAGGGTCTCTCTTGTCCTGAGGGCCCAGAGCTGTCCCAGCACTGGAGGTGCCTCAGCACCAGTATCCCCAGGGCCATTCCCAGATTCCCAGCCCCTCTGCACCAGCCTAGAGCTGTAGGGGGCTGGGGTGACCCAAGAGCAAACTAGTTCTCACTCCAATTCATCCAGACAAACCCACATCCTGACCTGCTGTAAGTACACCCTGCTCCTATGCAAAGTCCAATGTGACTGAGCATCAGCAAAGGAAAGAAAATAAAGAGACTGCTTTTCCCAGTGTTTTGCTCCCACTGGATGGATGCTAAGAGCTTAAAGTGCTCTTGCACACTTGGTGAGTTTCTTTGAAGGTTATGGCTTCCAAAGGACAAGAGAAACAGGAATACCACATTGTCACACGCAACCAAAATGGTAACAGTTGTAAGCAGATTTTCTTGACAACTACACAGCCAGGAGCTAATACCCAACGCCAACACCTAGGTAAGGTCATTGGGAAAAATCTCTAAAATACAGAGTTCAGGCAGAACTACTTCATGCATCGGGCTTCCTCTCACCTGAACTGAAATTCAATTATTGAAAGGTGTAACCACCTCCAAAGCCCAATAAAGGACAAGTGCCCAGCCCACCTTTCCCACAACATGTCCTCAGCTGTTTAGGCTTGACTGACTGACTGATGGCATTTAATTGAAAACTCATGGGTCTTCCTTACTTATCCTTCAGTTAAACACTAAGAAAAACCCAGACTATTCCTCCATGACTCCAAAGTGAAGTCAGGAGGAATGCAGAGCATCCTTTATGCAGAGAATATTTATTTCTCAGAAATGCCATCACGGGCCAGCTGCTGCAGAGACAGGCTGTGACAGGCTACAGAGATATCCTGACATCCCTGAAAGCCTTTGTCTTGCCGCATGGGATTTATCATCCCAGAGTTTTCTAGGAACAAGAGATGCTTCCTATAAAAGGCAGCTGCAGTGCAAATTCTTCACGTACCAACGCAGCCACCTGCTTCCAGAATGTTCTTTGATAGGACATCCAGCATCCCTCTCGTGCTAGCTCTCCCTTGAGTATTTATAACACTGTGATCCAGCAGGTCCCTTCTGCTCTGAGACACCTGGGACACAAACTGAGGAACAGCTCAGCAGCCCAGATTTGTCTGTGCCTGAATGGGATGATGATAAAACCAAACCAAACTGATGCCCAGGGAGACAGAGGGAAAGGCCCCAGCCCAGGCCCAGACATCACACCCTCTCTCATGAGCAACCAATGACAACTTTCACATCTCTTGCGCAGGCTCCAAAACCCACCCCACTGTTCTCCCATCTCTGTCCCCTACAGCCATGTTGGGCATCACCTTGTGCAGGTGGAGGTGGATATCCAGGCTGAGGTGACACCCTCTTCTGCTCAGTGCC